GGAGTTTGGAAGAAACTGATTTCAACCTTCATGGATGACTTTGAGGAATTCAAGAATTTAGTGGAGCCCGGGCACGGTGGCTCACGCCTGTAATCCGAGCACTCTGGGAGGCCGAGGCGGGTGGATCGCTCAAGGTCAGGAGTTCGAGACCAGCCTGAGCAAGAGTGAGACCCCATCTCTACCAAAAATAGAAAGAAATTATCTGGACAACTAAAAATATATATATATAGAAAAAATTAGCCGGGCATGGTGGCACATGCCTGTAGTCCCAGCTACTCGGGAGGCTGAGGCAGGAGGATCGCTTGAGCCCAGGAGTTTGAGGTTGCTGTGAGCTAAGCTGATGCCACGGCACTCTAGCCAGGGCAACAGAGCCAGACACTGTCTCAAAAAAAAAAAAAAAAAAAAGAATTTAGTGGAGGCCAGGCATGGTGGCTCATGCCTGTAATCCTAGGACTCTGGGAGGCCAAGGCTGGAGGATCACTTGAACTCAGGAATTCGAGACCAGCCTGAGCAAGAGTGAGACCCTGTCTCTACTAAAAATAGAAAAATTAGCCAGGCATTGTGGTGCACAGCTGTAGTCCCAGCTACTCGGGAGGCTGAGGCAAGAGGATCGTGCAGGAGTTCGGGGTTGCAGTGAGCTATGATGATGCCACTGCACTCTAGCCAGGGCAACATAGCAAAACTCTGTCTCAAAAAAAAAAAAATTTAGTCGAGGAAGTCGCTGCATGTGTGGTGAAAACAGTAAGAGAACTAGAATTACAAGTGGAGCCTATAGGTACGATTGAATTATTGCAATCTCAAGATAAAACTTGAATGGATGAGAAGTTGCCACTTATGGATAAGCAAAGAAAGTGATTTCTTGAGATGGAGTATATTCCTGGTGAAGATGCTGTGAACATTATTGAAATGACAACAAAGGATTCAGAAGATTCCACAAACTTAGTTGATAATGCAGTGGCAGGGTTCGAGAGGATTTTGAAAGCATTTCACTGTTTACCCACAACATCGCAAAAGTTACAGAGAAATCTTTCGTTAAAGGAAGAGTGAATCAATGTGACAAACTTCATTATTGTCTTATTTTAAGAAATTGCCACAGTCACACCAATATTCAGCAACCACCACCCTGATCAGTCAGCAGACATCAATATCAAGGCGAGACTATCCACCAACAAAAACATTATGACTCACTGAAGGCTCAGATGATCATAGGCATTTTTCAGCAATAAAGTTTTGGGGGGTTTTTTGTTTGTTTTTTAGAGACAGAGACTTGCTCTGTCACCCAGGCTGTAGTGCAGTGGCATGATCATAGCTTACTGCAGCCTCAAACACCTGGGTTCAAGCAATCCTCCCACCTCAGCCTCCCAAGTACCTAGGCCTACAAGCACGTGCCACCACATCCAGGTAATTTTTTTTTAATTTTTTGTAGAAATGGGGTCTTGCTATATTGCCCAGGCTGGTCTCAAACTCCTGGCCTTAAGCAATCCTCCTGCTTTGGCCTCCCAAAGTGTTGGGATTATAGGTGTGAGCCACTGTGCCCAGCATCAATGAAGTATTTTAATTAAGGTATATACATTATTTTTCTAGACATAATGCTACTGTACACTTAACAGACTACAGTATAGTGTAAACATAACTTTTATATGCCCTGGGAAACTAAAAACTTCATGTGACTCACTTTATTACGATATTTGTTTTATTGCAGTGGTCTGGAATCTAACCTGTAATATCTCCAAGGTATGCCTATAGTACCTATACCCCAGGGTTATTGTGAGGATTAAATGAAGTAGTTCATATAAAGCATTCAACACCATAGCACATAATAAATGCTCAATACATTCTGCTGTGTGTGTGTTTTAAATAAACAGCCATTCCTAAGGCTTTACACATTATCCCCATACAGATAGTTGTATACTTGCAGCCTGACCTCTCCTTTGGGCTTCAGATTCTTCTGCAAGATACCTTCTCCTTAACACTCCTTCGACTTTTCAAACTCCCACTACTTGCTTTCTACCTCCAAGCTATAATAACTCCCCCACCCCTGCCACCATCCCAATCCAGCTTCCCCATTTCAGTAAAGAGTGCCACTGTCCACCCATTTGTTCCATCGAGAAGCCTAGAAGTCACCCTGAGTCCTCTCATTCCCTCATACTCCTCTTCTAATCTATCAGCAAGTCCCAACAGCTCTACCTCCAAAATATCTCCCTAAGTCAGCCACCAAAGTCTAAACCACTGCAACAACTACACCCACCTCCCAAGTTTTCACCTCACCTCCCTCCTGTCCATATGCCAATGTCCATAAGATCATGGCACTCCCCAGCTCAATCTCCAGCCCAGGTTTCCCCTACAACTCAGACTCAAGGCCCAAGTCCTCACCTACACCTTCCAGGGACAGCATTACTGGAAGGCCAGCTCTCCAACCCAAGGTCCTATCTCCCCCTTACTCTGGCCCATCAGTCTTATCTTGATTCCTGGAGAATGCTGAGCCCTTTCCCACCCGCATGTACCGTCCTCTCAGCCTGCAAGACTCTGAGCCCCAACTCTTCTCATAGCTAGCTTCTTCTCACATTCCAGAGCTTCGCTGACATGAGAGTTAGAAAAGTCAAATGCGAAGAGAAACAAGAAAGAAAGGGACATAAAGAAGAGGTGAACAGCTAAGGGTGTCACTGATGGCAGGGAGAGGCCGTGGGGGAGGTGATGGGGGGAGGTGTGTGAAAGAATAACAGGCTGGGCCAGGCACGGTGGCGCATGTCTGTGGCCCCAGCTACTCGGGAGGCTGAGGCGGGAGGAGCCCTTGAGCCCAGGAGGTGGAGGCTGCAGTGAGCTGTGATCATGCCACTGCACTCTAGTCTGGGCAACAGAGTGAGACCCTGCCTCAGAAAATAAATACATCAATGAAAGAGTAACGGGTTGGAAAAGAGCATAGGAACAAGATGGGTGGGCACAGTGACAAAATGGGGGGGTGGTTTGCAGTAAGAGACAGGGACTAAGTGGCAGTGACAGCCTTGGAGGAGCTGGTGTGGCGACAGGGCAGGGCATCAGTAGCAAACTGGGAGCAGTCAGTAACAAATGAATGGACAACGCAGGCAGGTAGGCTGCAGGGACACAAAGTAGCAGGTGAGCGGGATCACAACGGGGCCCAGTAAGGTGCACGGAGGAAGGCGACAGGTGTGAAGGAAGAAACGGGATGGGATGGAGGAAGGAATGGGGCAGGGAGGGGCCAGGGAAGGTGACAGAATGTGGTAGATGACTGCTAACATCTGAAGCCATAACGGGGGGCCATGACAGGAAAGAGAAGTGGTGATGCAAAGAGGGGGAGGTGACAGAAAGAGGATTCAGTGATTGGACAATAGGAGTGATGACAGCGGTCACTGAGAGGGAAATGTGTCACACTGACAGGCAGGAGAAAAACAGTAGGGGGGACACTGACAGGTGGGGTCACTAACAGCAGGGCAGGGGACTAATGGGAAGGGTCCCTGACAGATCAGGGGTCGGGGGTAGCACGAAAGAGGGAACAGTGACAGGGGACAGGCACTGACACAGGAGCACTGAACACACAGAGAGGGGGAGCTTGACAGGCAGGGAGGGGGACATTTGGGAGGGGAACTCGCTGGCAGCGGGGGGTGCTGGCAAGCAGGGCACGACAGGCCTATGGGCAGAGGTGGGCAGTGACAGCTGGGACTGACAGAGAAGGCACTGGAAGGGTGCATCACGGGGGAAGGGGCGCTGACGTGGAGAGATACTGACTTAAGGGGGTACTGACAGACACGGGGCACTAACAAGGGGAAACTGACTGCTGAGTGGTCACTGATGGGGGAGCACTACCTGGCAGGGGCACTGAGGGGGACACTGACGGGCAGGCCCTGGGAGATGGAGGGGGCGCTGATAAGTGACAGGGCACTGACTGATGGGGGGATTGACGGGGGCAGTGACCAACAGGGGCACTGACTGACAGGAGGTACTGACCGACTGAGGGGGTCACTGGCTGATGAGGTCACTGACGGGGCACTGACTGATGGGGCACTGACTGATGGGACACTGACTAATTGGGTCACTGACTGACTGAGGGGGTCACTGACCGACTGTCCGACGGGGACACTGACTGAATGACAGGGGTGACTGACTGACTGATTGACGGGGCACTGACTGACTGGGGGTCACTGATTGACTGACCAACAGAGCACTGACTGACCAACTGACCGACGGGGGCACTGACTGACTGATGGGGTCACTGACTGACTGACAGGGTCACTGACTGACTGACAGGACACTGACTGATGGGGTCACTGACTGACTGATGGGGTCACTGACTGACTAATGGGGTCACTGACTGACGGGGCAATGACTGATTGACGGGGCACTGACTGATGGGGTCACTGACTGACAGGGCACTGACTGACGGGGTCACTGACTGACTGATGGGGTCACTGACTGACTAATGGGGTCACTGACTGACGGGGCAATGACTGACTGACGGGGCACTGACAGGGCACTGACTGACTGATGGGGTCACTGACTGACAGGGTCACTGACTGAGGGGGCACTGACTGACAGGGCACTGACTGACTGATGGGGCACTAACTGACAGGGTCACTGACTGATGGGGCACTAACTGACTGACAGGGCACTGACTGACAGGGCACTGACTGAGGGGGCACTGACTGACAGGGTCACTGACTGAGGGGGCACTAACTGAC